CACCACACGTTCCAAGACTTTGCCCAAGAAGGGGAGATTGGAAACTGGCCGATAGTTGTCGAATTTAGTGGGGTCCAGTGATGGTTTCTTCAACAGCGGTTTTATTATAGCTTGTTTTAAGCTCGCTGGAATCTTGCCTTCCCGAAGGGAAGCATTAACCACCACCTTAACCCACTCAGCCAATCCCCCTCTGGCCTCCTTTAGAAGCCAGGATGGGCAGGGGTCCAGGATGCATGTGGTTGGCCTCATTCCTCCAAGTATCTTGTCCACATCCTCGGGTTTCACCAATTGAAATGAATCCATCAAAACTGGACAAGCAGGTGCTCGTGTTACATCCTCAGAGACTGCCATTAACATGGTATCCAGACCAGAATGGATCAAAGCGACTTTGTCTGCAAAGAACTGAGCAAAAGCTTCACAGCGAGAAGTCGAATCGTCAGGGTTCCCACCTTGAGTGGTGGGATTTAAAAGGCCTCTGACAATTCGGAACAGCTCAGCCGGACGGTTCTTTGCAGACGCAATAGTGGCCGCAAAGAAGGCCTTCTTTGCGGCTTTTATTGCCACGGCATATGCCCTTAAAAAGGACATAAACCGTGTTCGATTTGGCTCACTCGGATCCGAACGCCACACACTCTCTAGTTCCCTCTTCCTTCGCTTCATCGCTGCCAGCTCCTCAGTGAACCAGGGAGCTGGTTTAGCTCGGCTACTTGAGAGGGGACGTTCCGGAGCGATCGTGTCAATTGCCCTAGTCATCTCCCCATTCCAGAGAGTGACCAGGGCCTCGACAGGATCACCTACCGAGGCGGCGGGAAACTCCCCAAGAGCCATCAGGAATCCATCCGGATCCATAAGCCTCCTGGGGCGGACCAACTTAATGGGTCCTCCACCTCTGCAGAGGTTAGGGGGCGCAGTGAGCCTAAATCTGACCAGGAAGTGGTCGGTCCATGGCAACGGAGAGATGGTCAGCTCCTCGACCCCACCACCTTCCTCCCATCCCTGGCAGAAAACCAAGTCCAATGTATGTCCTGCACTATGAGTGGGGCCAGATACTTGCTGGGACAGCCCCATGGTTGCCATGGCAGACATGAAGTCCTGAGCCGCTCCTGAACGGCCTCGGCATGGACATTGAAGTCCCCCAGCACAAGGAGCCGCTGGGATTCCAATGCCAGGCCCGAGACCACCCCCGCTAGCTCAGGTAAGGAGACTGTAGTGCAGCGAGGTGGGCGGTACACTAACAGAATCCCTATTCTGTCCCGGTCACCCAACCTCAAGTGGACACATTCAAAATTTGTTGACTGCGGGATGGGGCCCCTGGTCAGAGGGATGGAATCTCTATAGACCACTGCAACCCCGCCTCCCCGCCCTCCGGATCTCGGTTGGTGCTGCACAGAAAAACCTGGTGGGCAAAGCTGGGTTAAATTTACACCTCCCGCTTCGTCCAACCAGGTCTCTGTGATGCACGCCAGATCTGCCCGTTCATCCAGGATTAAATCCTGGATGAAAGTTGTTTTGCCGTTGACAGATCTGGCGTTCAACAGCACCACCTTCAGATAGTATCATAGATTTGAAAGAGACCCTTAAAGAAGGACAATAATATGTTGCATTTTCCAGAGTAGGCAAACCAGACACTCTCCACATACACTGACAAAGAAACAGCAAGAAATACTGTTTACCCACAAGCATAAAGAATTACATATATTAGAAACCAACTTTCTCATTACTTTATTTTCCAGATCACCAGACTGGGCCACAGCAAACGTGGCAGGGGATGGCTAGTCTATATATATATTGTTATGTATATAATAATAATAATAATAATAATAATAATAATAATAATCTTTATTTGTACCCAGCTACCATCTCCCCAAGGGACTCGGTGCAGCTTACAAGAGGCCAAGCCCGCAGTACATCAGTAAAACGAAGGCAATAACAAAATAATCAATACAAAACAGTAAAATAAATCTCATAAACAATAACCAATAATACCAAATATTCTAACAAAACAAAATGCAAGATGTGGCAGAATACTTACCCTTTTCTTGAAGCTGAACCAAAAAGAGCTTCTTGTGCTCTTTCGGTTTTGTAATGTGAGCAGGAATATACGGATACTGTAAGATATAAAAATATAAGAAGCACACTTTAAATTGATGTTTGCAAATCACAAACGAGTGATGTGGATTTACAGCAGTTGACAGAATTGGGTCATTTAGTGTCTAGCGGTTCAAAAGCACATCCTTCAAATCCAGAGATTCAGAGTAACTTTCGAGTCGCATGCATCAAAGACAAGGCACTAAAACAGGAAATTCAGGAACCAGAATGGTCTTGGGTCACGATAAGTTGTGGATTCTAAAACTGAGAAATGCTAAGCAGGGAAAAAAATAATCATGTCTTTGGCATTTCCCTGATTAGTATTGGGCAGGAAAATATCTTCATATCTATATAAATAAAAATGTAATGTTCGTTTGTGGGATTAACAGAACTCAAAAACCACTAGAGGAATTGACACCAAATTTGGACACAAGACACCTAACAACCCAATGTATGTCCTTCACTCAAAAATTGATTTTGTCATTTGGGAGTTGTAGTTACTGGGATTTATAGTTCACCTACAATCAAGGAACATTCTGAACCCTACTAATGATGGAATTGAACCAAACTTGGCACACAGTTCTCCCATGACCAACAGAAAATACTGGAAGGGTTTGATGGGCAGTGTCCTTTGGTTTTGGAGTTGTAGTTCACCTACATCCAGAGATCACTGTGGACTCAAACAATGATGGATCTGGACCAAACTCTACAAGAATACTCAATATGCTGAAATCTGAACACAGATGGAGTTTGGGGAAAATAGAATCTTAACATTTGGGAGTTGTAGTTATTGCGATTTATAGTTCACCTACAATCAAAGAGCATTCTGAACCCCACCAACGATAGAATTGAGCCAAACCTCCCACACAGAACCCCCATGTAATGCAGTGTTTGTTTGTGGGATTAACTCAAAAACCACTGGACGAACTGACACCAAATTTGGACACAAGACACCTAACAACCCAATGGATGTCCTTCACTCAAAAAAATTGATTTTGTCATTTGGGAGTTGTAGTTGCTGGGATTTCTAGTTCACCTACAATCAAAGAATATTCTGAACCCCACCAATGATGGAATTGAACCAAACTTGGCATGAATACTCAATATGCCCAAATGTGTAGTACACATATATCCAGAGAGCACTGTGGACTCAAACGATGGATCTGGACCAAACTTGGCACGAATATTCCATATGCCCAAATAGGTACACAGATGGAGTTTGGGGAAAATAGACCCTGACATTTGGGTGTTATAGTTACTGGGATTTATAGTTCACTTACAATCAAAGAGTATTCTGAACCCCGCCAAGGACAGAATCGGGCAAACTTCCCGCACAGAACCCCCCATGACCAACAGAGAATACTTAAGGCAACTCCCTTCACCAGAGCAAGAAAACGTAATCAAAGCCCTCCTGACAAAGAGCCATCCAGCCATAGATATAGATAGATATGATTCACACACACACACACAGATATAGTATCATAGACCTGAAGGGGACTCCTAAAGAAGGACAATTATGCTTTGCATGTACTAGAGTAGGCAAACCAGACAATCTCCACATCAACACTGACAAAGAATCAGCAAGAAATAGTGTTTACCCACAAGCAGAAAGAAATTACATATATTAGAAACCAACACTTTCTCATTATTTTCCAGATCACCAGACTGGGCCACAGCAACGCGTGGCAGGGGATGACTAGTTCAACAATAAATTAAGGAGCAAGGGGAATGCAGGCTTCGAGCCTCACCTGCGGGGGCTCAAAATTCGGTCGCCACCAGTTGCCAATGCAGTCATCAATGACCCAGTCTTGCTGCACTCCGTCTTGACGACCCAAAATCTGTAAAAATATAGACACAAGGGAATTCCTGATACTTTCCTTCCAATACCAGAAAGAGCTGAGATATCATATGTCATGTATACTAAGTTTAAGCTCCTTAATATTCAAAATCAAAAGCATATCTCTTCCTTTGCTCAGCCATCCTTATGGTCCAGCTCTCACATCCATAGGTTACTACAGGGAATACCATTGCTTTAACTTAATCTTTGTTGCCAGTGTGATGTCTCTATTCTTTACTATTTTATCGAGATTGGACATTGCTCTCCTCCCAAGAAGGAAGCGTCTCCTGATTTCCTGGCCACAGTCTGCATCTGCAGTCATCTTTGCGCCTAGAAATACAAAGTCTGTCACGGCCTCCACATTTTCTCCCTCTATTTCCCAGTTGTCAATCATTCTTGTTGCCATAATCTTGGTTTTTTTTATGTCTAGCGGCAACCCAGCTTTTGCGCTTTCTTCTTTCACCTTGATTAGAAGGCTCCTCAGCTCCTCCTCTCTTTCGGGCATCAAAGTGGTATCATCTGCATATCTAAGGCTGTGAATGTTTCTTCCAGCAGTTTTAACCCCAGCCTTGCATTCGTCAAGCCCCACACAATGTGTGTTCTGCATACAAGTTGAATAGGTTGGGTGAGAGGATACAACCCTGCCATACAGCTTTCCCAATCTTGAACCAGTCTGTTGTCCCATGGTCAGTTCTGAACCAGTTTCCGAATCTTGAAACAGTCTGTTGTTTCTTGGTCTGTTCTTACTGTTGCTACTTGGCTGTTATACAGATTCCTCAGGAGACAGGCAAGGTGACTTGATATCCCCATACCATCAATAATTTCCCACAATTTATTATGATCCACACAGTCAAAGGCTTTAGAATAGTCGATAAAACAGAAATAGAACACAGCCTCATCTGTGTTAAAACGTTGTGGCAAGAATGTCCAAACTATCAAATGAACTATATAGCTTTGCAGAGAACAGAAGAGCTTAAACCTCAAATGTATATTAATAGGACTTTAACTGGATATTCCAGGATTGGGGGGTATAAACATATTTTTGCATATATAGATCAACCGTTAAGAAATTTAACTCAACACTATTCATCTTTGGTCATATGAACGTAACTATAAAAGGTTTACTGTAATCTGCCCAAATAAATAAAATAAACTCCAAATAAATATGTTACTTACCTCTGTCATTAAACGTTTGAGACCTTCTACTTCATCTTCTCCTGGATTAAGTTCCCCACCAGGCCTATTGACGATACAAGGACACATTTTAGGCACTATGAAGCAATGTTTCAGAGACGAATTCTACTCAGGAAATGCTAGAATTAATCTAAAGATTTTAAGATAATGCAACCAGAGCTCACAGAATTTCACAGGGCCAAAATGTTATATACATTATTATACAAGGATGCGTAACTGTATATAATCAATTAATCACCAAGCAAAGACATTCCATTTAAAAAAATCCCAAATATTGCTGATCCCAAGCATTTTGTGTAAAAGGCATTCTGCCTATATATACATACTGTATATACTAGAGTATAAGCCTAGTTTTTCAGCCCCTTTTTATTATTTATTATTTTACTCTGTTATTACTATTATTTTTATTACATTTATTATTTTCCTCTATTATTGGCATTATTACATTTGTGTTATTTTACTCTATTATTATTTTATTACATTTATTTGAATCTATTATTATTATATATATTATTTTACTTTAGTATTATTACATTTATTATTTTACTCTATTATTGGCATTATTACATTTGCATTATTTTACTCTATTATTTTATTACATTTATTTTACTCTATTATTATATTTATTATTTTACTCTATTTATTATTATTATTACATTTATTATTTTACTTTATTGTTGTTATTACATTAGGTTCTTGTGGGTTTTTTCGGGCTATATGGCCATGTTCTAGAGGCATTTTCTCCTGATGTTTCGCCTGCATCTATGGCAAGCATCCTCAGAGATAGTGAGGTCTTGCCATAGATGCAGGCGAAATGTCAGGAGAAAATGCCTCTAGAACATGGCCATATAGCCCGAAAAAACCCACAAGAACCTAGTGATTCCAGCCATGAAAGCCTTCGACAATGTTATTACATTTATTATTTTACTTTCTTATTATTGGAACGATACATAAGCACATTTATTTATTTGTTTATTTATTTACTTCATTTGTTGACCGCCGCTCTCAGCCCTGGGGCGACTCGCGGCGGTGTACAACATGTAAAAACAATCTACAAAAACATACAATATAACAACAACCGAATTACACATTAATCTAAATTACACTAATAGATCCGCGCCATCACAACATAGAATCATAGCCAATCTCATAATCCATAGTCCGTTCCAAATGTCATTACCAGATTCGTGTGGGTCTCAATTAAATGCCTTCTCGAATAGCCAGGTCTTTAAGCTCTTACGAAAAGCCATAAGGGAGGGCGCCTGTCTGATGTCGACAGGGAGGGTGTTCCACAGCCGGGGGGCCACCACTGAGAAGGCCCTCTCTCTCGTCCCCGCCAGACGTGCCTGTGAGGCGGGCGGGATCGAGAGAAGGGCCTCCCCGGATTTGACACTGAAAAAGGTTAGAATAATGGTTTAATCAAAGTTGGTCAGTCTTATTTTAAATTACAGTTTTATGTAAACATTGAAAAACATTTAACCTACTATTTCCTCAATTAATTTAATTTTATTGGTATCTATATTTATTTTGTATTACCTGTAGCTGCTGCATTTCCCACCCTCGACATATTCGAGTCAATAAGTTTTCCCATTTTTGGTGGTAAAATTAGGTGCCTCGGTTTATATTCGGGTCAGCTTATACTCGAGTATATACGGTACATACACATATACATGATTTAAACACATTTAATCAATCTATAGCTTTAAAGCCAGATGCACATTAATTCACATTAATTGCACATTAATGCATTTAATGTTGCCACCTTTTGGCTCAGATGTGTTCATCAGGGGAGATCTAAACACACCTCTCACCAAGGCAGAGTCCTATTCCTTATGAGTCTCACTTACAGTTTGAAGAAAGTGGTGCCCAGCTGCAAGAGGAGGACATGAGGCAGCCTGTGTTCGTGGACGATCAGGACCCCTTCGACTGTCCGCCTCATCCCGATCTTGTCAAACTCCTCCCGCATGCGCATGAAGCGTGCGGCCACAGAGCTGTCCTTCTCATAGAGGGGTTCCTTGGTCCCAAAGGTATAATTCGTGAGGGGGTACCTGAAAGCATTGAGATTAAACACAGGACTTCAGGTAAACTGGTAAGCTGCTAAGAATAACACTCAAAAAGCAGGGGAATTCCAGGCAAGAATCAATCAGGGTCAGATAACACCTCCAAACAAAGGATTCCCCAAGAAGCAATCAGACAAGGCCATTAAATGCTAACCAAGATGGCCAATTGCAACATTCACACTTGCCTCAAGCAGGCAAGAGTTCTTTCTTCCACCCTGGACATTCCACAGATATATAAACATCACTTGCCTAGTTTCCAACAGACCTCTCAACATCTGAGAAAGCTTGCCATAAATGTACGTGAAACGTCAGGGGAGAATACTACTGGAACATGGCCAAACAGCCCAGAAAACTCACAGCAACCCATGTTCACAACTATTTGCCAACACGTGCTGAACAGTAATTTGCGTGATATGCTTCACACCTGCTTTTCTGTGTACCAACCCACACAATCTCTTCAATCATCTGGAGAGGCCCTGCTCGCGCCCCCCCCCCCACAGGCGCAATTGGTGGGGACGAGGGAGAGGGCTTTCTCGGTGGTGGCCCCCCAACTCTGGAACTCACTTCCAAAGGATATCGGGCATGCCCCAACATTGGCCGTCTTTAGTAGGAGCCTGAAAACGTGGCTGTTCCAGTGTGCCTTCCCGGAATAAAGGAAAAATTCCCAGCAATATGTCCTCAGAATGTATTTTAAATATATATGTATAAGCGTATATATGTATGTGGGTATATGTGTACTTTAGATACATATATGTATGTATATACAGATGCATGTATGTCTCCATATATCTCTATGTCTCTATAGGTGTGTATGCGTATATATGTATGTGGGTATTGTGTTTTAGAACAGACCAAGAAAGGAGATTCCATCTGAACATGACGAAGAACTTCCTGACTGTGAGAGCCGTTCAGCAGTGGAACTCTCTGCCCCAGAGTGTGGTGGAGGCTCCTTCTTTGGAAGCTTTTAAACAGAGGCTGGATGGCCATCTGTCGGGGGTGCTTTGAATGCAATTTTCTTGCTTCTTGGCAGGGGGTTGGACTGGATGGCCCATGAGGTCTCTTCCAACTCTATGATTCTATGATTCTAACTCACCACAAGTTGCACAAGCACTACATACAGCTGAGAACTGCATATCTGAAGGCGATTGGGGTAAACTGTAGGGGTGACGCAGATATCTGAAGTGGCTTGGGATTGTGTAATAGCTGGCCTATTTTAACCTTCATTTTAACCTTCATTTTTAATTTTTGTGGTATGACATTTTAATGATGATATTTTTAGTTATCTTTTAACCTAATCAGGTTTGAATGTGTGTTGGTTCGCTGTTGTGGGGGTCTTGGGATGGTGATTGTTGTCTGTCTGTGCACGTTTCTGTTTTTGTTTCTAATGTTGATGCGGTCAATAGACTATTCAATAAACTTTGCTAGCATCCCTAAACACACACACACACACACACAAAACACCAGTGGAACAGACTTAAAAACCCAAAAAAATACAGGTGCATGTATGTCTGCATAGGTAAAGGTAAAAGTAGTCCCCTGACATTAAGTCCAGTCATGTCTGACTCTGGGGTGTGGTGCTCATCTCCATTTCTAAGCCGAAGAGCCAGCGTTGTCCGTAGACACCTCCAAGGTCATGTGGCTGGCATGACTGCATGGAGCGCCGTTACCTTCCCGCCGGAGCGGTACCTATTGATCTACTCACATTTGCATGTTTTCGAACTGCTAGGTTGGCAGAAGCTAGGGCTGACAGCGGAAGCTCACGCCGCTCCCCGGAATCGAACCTGCGACCTTTCGATCAACAAGCTCAGCAGCTCAGTGTTTTAACCCACTGCACCACCAGGGGCTCCGTATGTCTCCATATTATCTCTATATGTCTGTATGTGTATATGTGTGTGTGTATATATATGTATATACATATGTATATGTGTATGCAGATATATATGTTTGTATATGTTTTGTATATGCATATACAGGTTCATGCATATGTATATATGTCTCTATATATGTATATATATTTGTGGGTGTGGGTTTTAATATATGAATATATGTATAATTGTATATTTATTTATTTATGACATTTCTATACCACCCTTCTCACCCCGAAGGGGACTCAGAGTGGCTTACAAGATATATATACATACAATATATTATATTATTAGCATAGTACAATATCAGTATTTAAATATTAAAGATGGTGGGGTGGCAACCCTTCTCACCCCAAAGGGGACTCATATAGATAGCTAGGCATATACAAGCCCTATGAGAACAAGCCCTATGAGGAGCGGCTTAAGGAACTGGGCATGTTTAGCCTGAAGAAGGGAAGAGGAGACATGATAGCCATGTATAAATATGTGAGAGGAAGCCACAGGGAGGAGGGAGCAAGCTTGTTTTCTGCTTCCCTGGAGACGCAATGGAACAATGGCTTCAAACTACAAGAGAGGAGATTCCATCTGAACATGAGGAAGAACTTCCTGACTGTGGGAGCCGTTCAGCCGTGGAACTCTCTGCCCCAGAGTGTGGTGGAGGCTCCTTCTTTGGAAGATTTTAAACAGAGGCTGGATGGCCATCTGTCAGGGTTATTTATTTGTCGAGTCAGAGCAACCAGTCCATTATATTACATTTCTAACAGAACAAAGCAAACAAACAGACAAAATACAACATTTGTGAGTTTGGTAGTTGGTTCAATGTCCTTTGACCAGTATCTGGCCACTTGGAGTGCTTCTGGTGTTGCTGCAAGAAGGTCCTCCATTGTGCATGTGGCAGGGCTCAGGTTGCATTGCAGCAGGTGGTCAGTGGTTTGCTCTTCTCCACACTCGCATGTCGTGGATTCCACTTTGTGGCCCCATTTCTTGAGGTTGGCTCTGCATCTCGTGGTGCCCGAGCGCAGTCCGTTCAGCGCCTTCCAAGTCGCCCAGTCTTCTGTGTGCCCAGGGGGAGTCCTTCATTGATTGAGGTTCTGGGTTTGAGCCTGCCACTTTTGGACTCTCGCTTGCTGGGGTATTCCAGCAAATGTCTCTGTAGATCTTAGAAAACTATTTCTTGATTTAAGTCGTTGACGTGCTGGCTGATATCCTTTCACTGTTGGCTGCTACTTCCCGGCGGATTTCAGGTGGTGCAATACCGGCTAAGCAGTGTAATTTCTCCAGTGGTGTAGGGCGCAGACCCCGTGATAATGCGGCATGTCTCATTAAGAGCCACATCCACTGTTTTAGCGTGGTGAGATGTGTTCCACACTGGGCATGCATACTCAGCAGCAGAGTAGCATAGCGCAAGGGCAGCTGTCTTCACTGTGTCTGGTTGTGATCCCCAGGTTGTGCCAGTCAGCTTTCGTATGACATTGTTTCTAGCGCCCACTTTTTGCTTGATGTTCAGGCAGAGGGGAAACAAACAAGCACATGAAATCACTCTAAACAAAAGATTCCCCCCAGGCTCTTCTAGGCCACTGAATGCTAATCAAGGTGGTCAGTTGAAACATTCACACCTAGCTCCAGCAGACAAGAGCTCTTTGCCCCACCCCAGCCATTCCACAGATATATAAACCCATTTTCCTAGTTCCAACAGACCTCACTACCTCTGAGGATGCTTGCCATAGATGCAGGCGAAACGTCAGGAGAAAATGCCTCTAGAACATGGCCATATAGCCCAGAAAAAACTACAACAACCCTATGTAGATATATTTGTGGGTGTGGGTTAATATGTGCATTTGTGTATGTGTGTATAGATAGACAGACATATATCAACGTGTGTGTGTGTGCATATATATGTATCTGTGACTGGGCTTGGTTTCCAGCAGTAACACTATGCAACGAGATGCCCCAGCCTAGGCCCTTTCCCCCACCCACCCCGGCGGCTGGAAGGCCCGACTCACAGGTTGATGGTCCTCTCGAGGGTGAGGGGCTTGCTCTGCTGGATGTACTTGTTCCCGAACTGGTTCACCCCTCGGGGCCAGCCGGTCTGGGAGCGGTTGGGCGGCACGACAGACATAATGGAGGCCCACGCGGCGGAGGCTCAGGAAGACACCGGCATCCCCCACCAAGCCTTAGCCACCCCGCCAAAGGCCGCGCCGGAAGAGTAGGCCGCACTTCCGGCGAAGAGGCCATTCCCGCTTTCCTTTGCACTCGCGCGCGCCACGCAGCCAATCACAACGCGCGCGGCGGGCTGAGCTCTCTTCCTATTGGCTGTCAGGAATCAATACTACAGACTCCTTTGAGCCGATAAGCACCAACCTTTACCCTCTCAGGGCCGCACAACCAATCGGAACGCGCGAGGCGGGCTGTACTCTTTTCCTATTGGTCGTCAGGAATCGGTACTTAATTCCCATTGGTTGCTATAGCGCCGGCATCTCTCCTTTTAGCAACCTCTCATTCCTATTGCCTGTTACCGCCGCGCAGCCAATGAAAACGCGCGGGGTGGGCTGTGCTCTATTCCTATTGGCTGTCAGGAATCGGTACTTAATTCCCATTGGTTGCTATAGTGCCAGCCTTTCTCCTTTTGGGAACATCTCATTCCTATTGCCTATTACCGCGGCGCAGCCAATGAAAACGCGCGAGGCGGGCTGTACTCTATTCCTATTGGCTGTCTGGAATCGGTACTTAATTCCCATTGGTTGCTATAGCGCCGGCATCTCTCCTTTTAGCAACTTCTTATTCCTATTGCCTGTTACCGCGGCGCAGCCAATGAAAACGCGCGACGCGGGCTGTGCTCTATTCCTATTGGCTGGCAGGAATCGGTACTTAATTCCATTTGGTTGCTATAGCGCCGGAATCTCTCCTTCATTCCTATTACCTGTTAGGGTTAGCCCATTCATTAACTATTATAATTTAAACGTAATTTTAGGAATATATATATATATATATATATATATAAAGACCCCCAATTGATTTTGCCTTATTTTAAAACTATATAGTATATCCTCCCTGGATTAGAATAGCGGTCTAATTTGAATCTCTTTTAATCCACCTCCCCCGGGCTCATTTGGTATGTTCCAAAACCTAGCCCGCTGATTGGCCAAGAGGTTTAGGCCCCGCCTTCGCGCTGAGGCAAACCGGAAGTAGGCCCAAATAGCGGGGAAAGCATGAGCGTGCGGCAGCGGAAAGCCACTGAGGCGGGAGAGGCGGCCAAGAAGCGTCTCAAGCGGGAAGAACGGGCCGAGTTCTCCGCGGCGCTGAGGGAGAAGAAGCTGAAGGAGAGGGCGGCCGCGGCCTGGGCCCGGAAAGAGGCGCTGCGCGATGGTAAGGCCGCCTCAGGCCGCAGAGTGGAGGGTGAGGCCTGGCGCCAGGCAAACTGGGCCCGCAGTCAAAATTGTTGTCGGTTTTTAAAAATATTTTTGCTCGTTTAAATATTTTATGTCATAGAATAGAATAATAATAATAATCTATCTATATATAAATGCTCTGTGCATAATGAGTACCTTAAAAACAAAATAACCAATGAACGAAATCACACCAAATTTGGCCACAAAATGTCTCACAACACAAGGAGTGACCATCACTCAAAACATTATGATTTTGTCATTTGGGAGTTGTAGTTGCTGGGATTTATAGTTCACCTACAAACAAAGAGCATTCTGAACTCCACCAACGATAGAATTGAACCAAATTTGGCACACAGAACTCCCATGACCAATGGAAAATACTGGAAGGGTTTGGTGGGCATTGACCTTGAGTTTGGGATTTGTAGTTCACCTACATCCAGAGAGCACTGTGGACTCAAACAATGATGGATCTGGACCAAACTTGACACAAATACCCAATATACCAAAATATGTTTCAGACTTCAACTCCCACAATTCCTAACAGCTGAAGGGAGGTTGAAATTGGCCTAGGCCTGATTGACAGCTTCTATGCATAACTCATGGTTTTTAATATATGTATTTATGTAATTTATTTTAAAAAATTGCTCATTCACTGTCGAGAGAGAAGAAAAATAACAACCATGAGAGATAATAAATAAAACGGTCTGGATGAGGGCGAACAAATTGAAACTGAATCCAGACAAGACAGAGGTACTCCTGGTCAGTCGTAAGGCCGAACAGGGCATAGGGTTACAGCCTGTGTTGGATGGAGTCGCACTCCCCCTGAAGACGCAGGTTCGCAGCTTGGGTGTGACCCTGGACTCATCGCTGAGCCTGGAACCCCAGGTTTCGGCGGTGACCAGGGGAGCATTTGCACAGCTAAAGCTTGTGCGCCAGCTGCGCCCGTACCTTGGGAAGTCTGACTTGGCCACGGTAGTCCACGCTCTGGTTACATCCCGTTTAGACTACTGCAACGCTCTCTATGTGGGGTTGCCTTTGAAGACAGCTCGGAAGCTCCAACTAGTCCAACGCTCGGCAGCCATGATACTAACAGGAGCGGAGCGCAGGGAGCATACAACCCCCCTGTTGCGCCAACTCCACTGGCTGCCGATTTGCTACCGGGCTGAATTCAAAGTGCTGGCGTTGGCCTTTAAAGCCCTAAACGGTTCCGGCCCAAGCTACCTATCCGACCGCATCTCTGCCTATGAACCCACCAGGACTTTGAGATCTTCCGGGGAGACCCTGCTCTCGATCCCGCCTGCTTCTCAAGCTCGGCTGGCGGGGACGAGAGATAGGGCCTTCTTGGTGGTGGCTCCTCCGCTGTGGAACGCCCTTCCTACGGACATTAGACTAGCACCATCTCTAATGGTATTCCGCAAAAAGTGAAGACCTGGCTGTTTGAGCAGGCGTTCGAATAATTAGTGCAATGATTGGTTAATGAACACTGGAATGGAACAATGGATGACGAATCTGGAACATGTTTTTGATGACGAGACGACAGTGAATGGGTATTGTAGTAACTGTTTATTAATTGTGTAATGTGTTAGGTTGTTACTGTTTCTATACTGTAGCACTGAATTTTTGCTGTTCGTATTTGTTGTGAACCGCTGTGAGTCGCCTTCGGGCTGAGAACAGCGGTATATAAGTAAGGTAAATAAATAAATAAATAATATTCTGCCCTTCTCACTCCGAAGGAGACTCAGGGCAGACAGCATATATACAGCAAACATTCAATGCCGGGACATGATATCATTAGATGCATACATAAAAATTAAAAAATTGGTCTTAATATCTATATAAATAAAAATGTAATGTTCATTTGTAGGATTAACGTAACTCTAAAACCATTGCACAAACTGACACCACATTTGGTGAGAAACACTGTACTAACCCAAGGAATGACCATCACTAAAAAAAATTGATTTTGTCATTTGGGAGTTGTAGTTGCTGGGATTAATAGTTCACCTACAATCAAAGAGCATTCTGAACTCCACCAATGATGGAATTGAACCAAACTTGGCACACAGGACTCCCAACAGAAAACACTAGAAGGTTTTGGTGGGCATTGACCTTGAGTTTTGGAGTTTTCGTTCACCTACATCCAGAGAGCACTGTGGACTCAAACAATGATGGATTTGGATGAAACTTGGCACGAATACTCAATATGCCCAAATATGAACACAGATGGAGTTTGGGGGAAATAGACCTTGACATTTGGGAGTTGTAGTTACTGGGATTTATAGTTCACCTACAATCAAAGAGCATTCTGAACCCCATGAATGACAGAATTGGGGCAAACTTCCCACACAGAACCCCCATGACCAACAGAAAATACTTAAGGCCATCCAGTCCAACTCCCTTCACCAGGGCAAGAAAACGTAATCAAATCCCTCCTGACAAAGAGCCATCCAGCCATAGATATAGAGATAGATAGATAGATAGATAGATAGATAGATAGATAGATAGGCAGTTGTAGTTGCTGGGATTTATAGTTCACCTACAATCAAAAAGCATGATAGAATTGAACTAACCGCCAGACAGAACTCCCATGACCAACAGAAAACACTTGAAGGGTTTGGTGGGCATGGACCTTGAGTTTGGGAGTTGTAGTTCACCTATATCCAGAGAGCACTGTGGACTCACACAATGGTGGATCTGGACCAAATTTGGCACAAATACTCCAAATATGAACACAGATGGAGTTTGGGGGAAAATAGACCTTGACATTTGGGAGTTGTAGTCACTGGGATTCATAGTTCACCTACAATCAAAGAGAAACGACAGAATTGGGACAAACTTCCCACACAGAACCCCCATGACCAACAGAAAATACTTAAGGCCATCCAGTCCAACTCCCTTCACCAGGGCAAGAAAATGTAATCAAAACCCTCCTGACAAAGAGCCATCCAGCCGTAGATATAGATGGATAGATATGATTCATACACACAGAGAGATATAGTATCATAGATTTGAAAGGGACCCCTAAAGATGGATAATTATATGTTGCATGTTCCAGAGTAGGCAAACCAGACACTCTCCACAGCCGCACTGACAAAGAAACGGAAAGAAATACTGTTTACCCACAATCATCAAGACATTACATATATTAGAAACCAGCGCTTTCTCATTACTTTATTTTCCACATCAACAGACTGGGCCACAGCAACGCCTGGCAGGGGACAGCTAGTATACGTGTTATTATCAGTTTAAAAAGATTTTCTTGTTGTAAGCTGTACTGAGTCCCCTCGGAGAGATGTATAAATAAAGTTTTTATTATTATTGTTATTATTATTACTATTACTATTATTAATATTATTATCAAAGTTGATACAAAGAATCCAGAATACCTGATTTAGGAAATGTTCCCCTTCTGTTTTTCCTCCAGAGGCTGTTGTGCTGGACCCGGCCCCTTTCCCTCACTGCGTCATCCCAAACTTCATCCAAACCGAAGGCTTTTTGGAAGGGCTGCAGAAGGAGCTTTTGAGCCTGGATTTCCATGAAAAGTGCAATGACTTGTACAAATTCAAACAGGTATGTTATTTGGTAATCATCATTGGAGCACTCTGTGCTGTTGGGGTTCGAGCATCGAACCGGTGTTTGAATCCTTCCTTGGGTAGGATGTAGTCAGGGTTGAACACCCCCCCCCCCCCGATATTTTTGAGGTTACAAAAAAACCCTGATTTATTCATAAACTTGTTTCTAGAAGGAGATAGTTGAGCAGCATGAGGTTTGAGAAGTATAATCTTTGCCACATATAAGCAAAGGTGGGTTAATTTACATTTATTGACAGTCAGTATCACGTAGGAGTGGCAAGAACTGAGAGAAAATAACTTGATTTTTATTTTAAAATACAGGAAGCGCAATCCTAAAAAGTTCTAACAGCCATTGTTTCCTTTTTCATGACCAAAGTCAGATGACCTGAAGAAAAGAAGAGAGCCTCACATTGCAGCTTTAAGGTAATATTGCAATTTTATGCCATGCCAAGGGCTACTTTGAATTTATTTATTTACGGCATTTATATGCTGCCCTTCTCACCCCAAAGAGGATTCAGAGCGGTTTACAAGATATATATATATTTTTATATATATATATATATATATATATATATATATGTATATACATACACACACACATACATACAATATATTATATTATTAGCATAGTACAATATTAGTATTAAAAATTACTATATTGTCCTATACCATTATATTATAATACTAGCCATCCTCTACCACGCGTTGCTTTGGCTCTGTCTGTGTATATGTGTTTTGTGTGTGTTTATATATGTGTGTTTACATATATATACATACTAGCTGTGCCCTGCCACGCGTTGCTGTGGCCTATAGTAAGAATTTTCGAAGTAGAGGTAGATATCTGGACTATTATGAAAGAGGGGTACCTATCTATTCCTTCCCCCCTTTTTCTTCCCCTTCCCCTTTCTCTCCTTTCTTCCTTCTCTACCTCTTTCTTTCGCTCTTTGGTTTCATCCTTCCTTCTCTCTTTTCTTTCTTCCCTCCCTGTTTCCTTCCTTCTTTCACTTTTTTATTTCCTTTTCTCCTTCCTTCTTTCTTTACTTCTTTTCCATCCATTTTTCCATGAAATGCATCCAAATGCATTTCCATCCATTTTTCTTTCCTTTCTACTTTCTCTTCTTCCTTCGGTACCTCTTGCTTTCCTTCCTTCTCTCCTTCCTTCCTTCCCTCCTTCCTTCTTTCCCTCCCTTCTTCTCTCTTTCCTTCCTTCCCCCTTTCTCTCCTTCATTCCTTCCCTTTTTCCCTCCCTCCTTTCTTCTCTCCTTCCTTCCTGTCTGTTCCATGGTAATACCATGGTAGAGTCCCTTCTAACTCTATTCTATGAGTCTTATTTATTATAGTAATATATAGTTGTAACATTATATTATATAGTAGTATATATAACAATAATATATATATAATATAATATATATGTATTATATAGCAATATATATAATATAGTAATATATAAAGTACTGTAATTATGTGTGTGTGTGTGTGTGTATATATATATATATATACATACACATACACACACACACACACACACACACACACACACACACACACACACCGGAGCCCCCGGTGGCGCCGTGGGTTAAAGCACTGAGCTGCTGAGCTTGTTGATCGAAAGGTCGCAGGTTCGATTCCGGGGAGCGGCGTGAGCTTCCGCTGTCAGCCCTAGCTTCTGCCAACCTAGCAGTTCGAAAACATGCAAATGTGAGTAGATCAATAGGTACAGCTCCGGTGGGAAGGTAACGGCGCTCCATGCAGTCATGCCGGCCACATGACCTTGGAGGTGTCTACGGACAACGCTGGCTCTTCGGCTTAGAAATGGAGATGAGCACCACACCCCAGAGTCAGACATGACTGAACTTAATGTCAGGGGACTCCCTTTACCTTTACCTATACCCACACACACACACACACACACACACACACACACCAGTGATCCAACATCCGTGTGTGTGTGTGTGCATGTACATGTGTGCATGTGTCTGTGTGTATATGTATGTGATTTCATGTGTATATATGTGTGTATATATATGTGTGTGTGTGTATATGTGTATATTTGTGTGTGCTTGTTCATATATATATGAATGTGTGCATATGTATATGAGTGTATGTGTATATGTATATATGGAGTATTTGGGGGTTTTTTTAAGTCTGCTCCGCTGGACTTTTGTGTGTTTGTATGAGTTATGGGACACTCATTGGACTGTTAGGTGTATTGTGTCCAAATTTCTTTGCTGAACCCAACCTTGGAATACTTTGTGCCTGCTTATCTTCCTACCTAATTGGCTTTACCTTTTCTCTTAAAGTGTATTTTCCCTTGCTGCTTTTACTTATCTTCAATTAAAAAAGGATTGTTTTCCTACCCAACGTGTGGTGTTTTAAAGTCAAAGAGTTTTTCCTGTTCTGTAGTGCAACACCATGTCTCCTCCCTTCTTTCAGAAGAGTCCTCTTTGAGGATTTCCGAGCTTGGCTTTCTGACGTGACCCGAGTGGAGCTGGAGCCCACGGTCGATCTCTCCTGCGCGAAATATCAATATACAGGTGAAAAGCCTCATTGGTGATCATTGTTTGGGTTGGAATAAAAGCGGGGGACAACGTTGTAGAGCTTTGGGCTCAAAAAGACAATTACAAGTTGATAGTCTCCTACAAAGCATCTAAATTAGGCATGGGCAAACTTTGGCCCTTCCTCCAGGTGTTTTGGACTTCAACTCCCACAATTCCTAACAGCCGGTAGGCTGTTAGGAATTGTGGGAGTTGAAGTCCAAAGCACCTGGAGGGAGGGCCAAAGTTTGCCCATGCCTGATCTAAATCTTTTTCCATTCCAGATGCCCTTCTTTGCCATGATGACGAATTGGAGGGCCGGCGGATTGCCTTCATACTTTATCTGGTCCCTCCGTGGAAGGACAGCGATGGGGGAACCCTGGACCTCTTCAGCACTGACGGTAAGTGAGAAACTAAACCATTTGCGCAACCTTCAGTGTTTACACACATCAGTAGAGATTCCACATTAGTTGCTGCCAGTCATGTTCAAGAACAGCATTGCTGCTTTATCGTTGAGAAAGAAGATCGCCATATTTTATTTATTTATTTTATTTACAGTATTTATATTCTGCCCTTCTCACCCCACGGATTACAATGTAGATATACATGGTAAACATTCAATGCCACAGACACACAACATATATAGACAGACACTCAGAGGCTATTTAACATTCCAGCTTTTTTGATGAGGGTATTCTGGCCACCAGGGGAGCTGTCGCTTCACCGTCCATTTGTGACACGGATGAAGTACTTCCTCATTCTTTGCATGCTGGCTGGAGATTTTTATGGCGTCGTAAGTACCCAAATTTCCTACTTGACAGATGCAACTGTCTTTCTGATTAAACCATTATTCTAACCTTCAGTGTAAATGTGCTTGCGTAGCCTTCCAATAAAAATAAATAGAGCAAAATAATAAATGTAATAATATTAATGATAATAGAGTAAAATAATGGAAGTAATAATAGAGTAAAATAAAAATAATAATAATAATAATAAATAGAGCAAAATTATAAATGTAATAACAATAATAGAGCAAAATTTTAAATGTAATATCAATAATAAATAGAGCAAAATAATAAATGTAATAATAATAATAGAGTAAAATAATGGAAATGTAATAACAGTAATAATAGAGTAAAATAATAAATGTAATAATAATAATTATAATTAATAGAATGAAATAATAAATGTAATAATAACAATAATAAAGTAAAAAGTTCAATTTAATAATAACAATAATAATGATGATGCATTCATTATGTATTTCTAACAGGATAAAATAATAAATAACCTTGACTTGAATATAAGCCAAGGGCGACTTTTTTAGCAGCTGGGTGTCAGCTGCATTAAGATCACCACTGATCAAAAGGTCATGAGTTCGAAGCCAGCCCGAGTCGGAGTGAGCTCCCAACCAATTTGTGTAGCTTGCTATCAACCTTTGCAGCCTGAAAGACAGTTGATTCTGTCAAGTAGGAAATTTAGGTACCGCGTATGCAGGGAGGCTAATTTAATTAATTTATGACGCCATAAAAATCTCCAGCAAGCATGCAAAGAATGAGGAACTACATCATCAGTGTCACAAATGGACGGTGAAGCAACAGCTCCCCTGGTGGCCAGAAGCTGGAATGTTAAATAGCCTCTGAGTGTCTGTCTATATATGTCGTGTGTCTATGGCATTGAATGTTTGCCATGTATATGTACATTGTAATCTGCCCTGAGTCCCCTGTGGGGTGAGAAGGGCGGAATATAAATACTGTAAATTGTGACGATGTGTAAGTTTTATTCTTTGGTTATGTGTAGTTTGGACAGTGGTTTAGGGATGGTAAGTATGGGAGATTATATTTTGTTAGAGATGGTGGCTAGTGGCTTGAGCTGAGTTGCCATAGCAACGGGGGCGGAGCCAACTATCACTTCACGGCGCAGCTTTTTGAAAGTGGCAGTCTGTGGCCGGTGAGCTACAGGAAGGGACTGATTTCTCTAGTGGGAGAAACAGGGAATTAGTCAGTATGCCAGCGAGCTACTGAGTGAACTGAATCTTTTGGTGGAGATTCAGGGAATCAATTGGTGACCAAGTGGTTGCAGAGAAGGACCCGGTACAGGGGGTTGTTGATTCTGAATTAAGAATCAAGGTTTGGCTGGGTTTAAGCCTGTTGTGCCAGCTGTGAAACCTTATGAAGTGTTTGCCTGAGTTTACTCATGAAACCTTTCCAATGTATCCATCAAGATTTGTGCCTCTTTTGAAGAACAGTTATACATTGTTATACTCCTGTTAAAATAAACTTGTTACTGTTTTCCTCAAGCCTTGCCTGATACAGTTTCTCCTAAGTTGAACAGCCTGCAATAGTAAAGTCAAGCCAAGAAAGTAAACGCTACGCTATCAAGTGAATAAAGCCTTCTGTAATTAACAGTCCCTTTATAAAATAGCTCCTAGGTTGATATTGATCGTTGCCTGGCTTCCCTCATAGATTAGGTGGCAGTGGGTGCTTTACCACGTGCACCTTCACAATTGGTGGCATTCGGTGGCATTAATACGGTCTTCGTTACAATTGGTGGCAGCAGTTTAACGACCCCTTTACAAAATAAATATAATAAATCAATAAACATACAGAGTAAACAGCATAACAAAAATAAATAAATAAATTTCCCAGTGATGATAGGATTTTGAAAAAGTCATGAGTTCGAAGCCAGCCCGGGTCAGAGTAAGTTCCTGACCATTTGTCTAGCTTGCTGTCGACGTTTGTAGCCTGAAAGACAGTTGTGTCTGTCAAGTAGGAAATTTAGGTACCGCTTATGTGGGGAAGCTAATTTAACTAATTTACATCACTATAAAAATATCCAGCAGCGGGCAAAAGAATGAGGAAGCACTCCATCAAGGCTTGGTGTCACAAGTGGACAGTGAAGTGACAGCTCCCTCAGTGCGGTGGCCGAAATTCAAGCATACCCTCATGAAGCTGGAATATTAAATTGCCTCTGTGTTTGCCTATATGTGTTGGGTGTCTATTATTATTAAATTATTTTACTCTATTATTATTATTATTACATTTATTATTTCATTCTATTGTTATTAGGGCTGGGCGGTTTCGTTTCGTTAATTCGTAATTCGTTAAAAAATTCGTTAATTTTTCAATTACAAAACGATAACGAACCAGTCTGGAGCAATTTTTTTAAAAAACGAATTTTTAAATCGTTTCGTAAATGTTTTGTATTTCGTTATTGTATTCGTTTCGTTATTGTTTTGAGGTCGTTTCGTTATTATTTCCGCATGTCTGGGGCAAGTTTTATAGTTGTTTTTGGTTTTCTAAGGGTTTTTATAGTTGTTTTTGGTTTAATTAAGCTTCAGAAGTTCCCCCTGTCCCATTTGGAGGTTTTTTAGCGTATTGCGCGGTCGCGTCCGCCATTAACGAATCGATTCGTTATTGTTTCGGAAATCGATTCGTTATTGTTTCGTAATTTTTTTCACATTTACGAAATTTCGTAAATATCGAACTTTTTTAAAGGAAAATTTTGTAATTATTTTAAATAACGAAACGCAACCCCCCCCCCAAAAAAAACGAATCGATTTTAGAAACAAATTTTTCCGTTGTTACCCAGGCCTAATTGTTATTATTACATTATTTTATTCTGTCTATGTTGTGACTCAGGTCCCAAAGATTGCCCAACACAACAGATTAAGGGTTAACAAAAGTCTTTAATGAGTCTTTAACAAGCTAGCAGCAATTAACCAGCAATGTTACTTAGCAAAACAAAAGGACCTTCGTGCAGGTAAACAATAACAGAGATAACCCGGAGTATCCCAAGACTCAGTCTCAGGAAAAAGGAAAGCTGGAGCAAAAACAAACAGTGGCAAAAGCGGAGTCAAACAGTCCTTGGTCGATAACGGAGACAGGCAACAAACAAAGTCCGGCAGGCAGATGACGTGGTCCAGAGACGTTCCAAAAGCAGGGGCAAGGCGAAGTCACTCACGTAGTTCCAATCCGAAGTCAAGGTACACGAAGACAAGGACCCAAATGAAGATTAGGCAGAACAAGACACCAGATGCAACGCTTTGTCCCCTGCAAAGCTACACATCCCAGAACCCCCATTTTATTAGCAATCGCTATCGCTAGATTGATCCTCATCACTAGCATCTGGGTCATTTCAGCTGCTGGCTCGTTACTCCGCCATCTCTGCCAGCGTTGATCCAAACCAGGATCCTGCCAAGATGTACCTGCCTGCCATGTATCTTGGAATCCCTCAAACTCGTCACTAGACGTGGGCTGTGTACATATGTCCTGAATTTCCCTAACCCGAGTCCAGTCCAATTCCTCTTCCATTTCCCCATTACTGGCTTCCAGTTCATCTGAACTGGAATTGTCAGCTGTATCTTTAAGCCGTTTACTCATAGTTTCTTCATCACTATCAGACTCACTGGCAACCCGCTTTACTCCCCGGTAATCCAATTCCTCCAAATCCTCGGGTCCAAACCCTGCAAAATCTTCCGTGTCGCTAGGTGCCAAAATAATATCTCGAATACGCTTCAGCTGATGCTGATCCAGCTCTGACTCAGCATCACTCCTCCTTCTCCTACAACCGGTAGTAGTTTCACTGCCAAGATGCTGAGCCTCAACAGTCTATATATGTTGTGTGTCTATGGCATTGAAATTTTGCCATGTATATGTATATTGTAATCCGCCTTGAGTCTCCTGTGGGGTGAGAAGGGCGGAATATAAATACTGTAAATAAATAAAATAGAATAGGCTTATACTCGAGTATATACAGTAGTTCTTTTTAAAGCCTGTTAGGAAATTTCATATTTTTAATAGTAAATCCCCTGTATCCACACGTGGCTGGTAATGTAAACTAGATGTAAACTAGATGTTGGCAAGGTCCTAAGTTGTGGACTTTTTCGTCTACAACTCCTTCCTAGCCAGACTATCCGATGGAGAAGGATTGTGGAAGTTCCAATCTACAAATATCTGGAAAGTCAAGTTCTGGTTCGAAGCATGCATTTCTTCCTTGGCTTTGTACATCTGGAGCAAAAGTGTGATTGATAATTCTGCAGGATGGTAACTGTCGTTTGTTTGATTTCTTTGGGCAGAGCACTCCCAGCCTTTGCAGGTTGTCAAGTCGTTGGTCCCTTCGTGGAATTCACTCGCATTCTTCGAAGTCTCGCCAGTCTCTTTCCATCAGGCAAGGCGCCTCTTTGTTTTGTATTGATTATTTGTTATCGCCTTTGTTTATTGATGTGCTGTGGGCACGGCCTCGTGTAAGCCGCACCGATTCCCTTGGGGAGATGGTAGCAGGGTACAAATAAAGTATTATTATTATTATTATTATTATTATTATTATTATTATTATTGATCTCTCCTGAGCCTAGAACAGGGCCTAAAGAAGGTTGATTCTGGGGTGCACACTTTCAACTTTTTTGGGGGGGGGCGGGGGATTCACCTCTTCCACGTCTTTCTTGAATTTCCTTCTCAAGTGGTCAAAAGCTGGGAATCAGAATTAGGCCCTCTGGGGTGAAAGCATTGACCTCCATGGATGTTTCCCCAACTTCAAGCAGCTTTTCTTTGATCTGAATGACAACATTCTTCTCACTTAATGAACCAGAAGATAAAGTATGATAGATTATGGGTTATGCTCTCTTAGAGAAGTTTGCTTGACTGTATTTTTTTTTAATGACTTTCTACTAGTCATTGATTGTGTGTGGATTTTGGGATTCGTAGTCCTAAAAGTTACCTTTCTCCAGCTCTAAATCTGAGAGGAGGTGTCTGTAAAGTAAACCTCTCTGATTCAGAGCTGGAGAAAAATAACTTTTGGGACTACAAGTAAGTCTTTTCTGCTGTGTTTTTCAGTGTTTTTATGAGGGATGGTCACTCATTGGCCTGATAGGTGCATTGTGTCCAAATTTGGTGTTAATTTGTCCCGTGGTTTTTGAGTTATGCTAATCCCACAAACGAACATTACAATTTTATTTATATAGATTATTGGTTTTTTGTTGGGGTTTTTTGTCATGTCAGGAGTGACCTGAGAAACCGAAATATTGGTAATATTACATTTAATATAAATATATAATTATAATATCATATTATTGTTAGTGATATATTGCATTATATTATAATATTATAAATATTATATGTATATACTATATATTCATATAGTATATGTATATACTATATATTATATTCATATATAATATATAGTATATGTATTATATATATATTCATATACTATATACTATATATTATATTCATATAGTATATGTATATACTATATATTATATTCATATATAATATATAGTATATGTATTATATATATATTCATATACTATATACTATATATTATATTCATATAGTATATGTATATACTATATATTATATTCATATATAATATATAGTATATATATTATATATATATTCATATACTATATATTATATTCATATAGTATATGTATATACTGTATATTAGGAGCCCCCGGTGGTGCAGTGGGTTAAAGCACTGAGCTGCTGAGCTTGTTGATCGAAAGGTCGCAGGTTCGATTCCGGGGAGCGGCGTGAGCTTCCACTGTCAGCCCTAGCTTCTGCCAACCTAGCAGTTCGAAAACATGCAAATGTGAGTAGATTAATAGGTACCGCTCCGGTGGGAAGGTAAGGGCGCTCCATGCAGTCATGCCGGCCACATGACCTTGAAGGTGTCTACGGACAACGCTGGCTCTTCGGCTTAGAAATGGAGATGAGCACCACACCCCAGAGTCAGACATGACTGGACTTAATGTCAGGGGACTACCTTTACCTTTACTGTACTATATATTATATTATATTATATTGGGAAAGCCCCCTCCTTCGAAACCTTCAAGAAGGACCTCAAAACCTGGCTTTTCCGTTGTGCTTTTGGAGAGTAGTCACGCAATCATGTACTATTACTCCCCTCAACATCTCTGTTCATGGAGCACTCATCCACCTATTTACAAATTTATGAATTCCCCTATTTACAACCCCACTCTTTTATGTGCTCTCCCTCATAAATAATATGCTCCTCCTGTCCCGTCACACCCAGACACTATAAAATTAAAACTAAGATGTGCTTCTCTCTTTATCTGGGTGAACTGCAAGTGCCTTACTTAGAAGCTTAGGATTCCCAGCAACT